TTCTCTTAGAAAAAGCTTTTTTTTCTTTTTTTAAAGATTTATTTATTTACTTGAAAGAGTTACATGGAGAGAGGAGAGAGAGAGAGAGAGAGAGAGAGAGAGAGAGAGAGAGAGTCTTCCATCCAGTGGTTCACTCCCCAAATGGCCGCCATGAGCAGAGCTGCACCAATCCGAAGCCAGGAGCCAGGAGCTTCTGGGTCTCCCACGCGGGTGCAGGGGCCCAAGGACTTGGGCCATCTTCTCCTGCTTTCCCAGGCCACAGCAGAGAGCTGGATCGGAAGTGGAGCAGCCAGGACTCGAACCAGCACCCACATGGGATGCTGGCACTGCAAGCGGTGGCTTTACCCGCTACACCACAGCGCCAGCCCCGAGAAAAAGTTTTAGAGCCCCCTCATGTGTACTGTGAGTGACTTTAGTTCATGGATCGTGGAAACCCTCGGTGCCCCGGTGTTCTTTCTGTTTGATGCTCAGCCGCTCAGTCATGCTCACGTTACCTTCACTGTCACGTCCCCCGCTCCCCGTGTCTCTGGTGCCCTGCATAGTGATAGGGAGTCCCGGTCCCATTGGGGGGGCCTGATGCTGTACTCCCCACTGGACTGGGGCTATGGGTTACGGGAGGAAGGGTGTGAGGGGAAGGGCCGGGGCCTCACACACTCTCAGGGAGCCGCCCATCTCACTGTCACCGTGGATGCTGCCCCTGCTCGCCGGGGCCCCCCACTTCAGACACCCACATCCCCCGTCAGAGCTCCAGCCTGCTGCTAACGCACCCCCTCAGGGACTTGGGTCCCCAACACCCACCAGGGGGGCTGGGATTGAACCGGCTCCTGGGTTCTGCCTGGCTCAGCCCTGGCTAAGGCGGGCATTTGGGAGTTATCCAGGGCACCAAGATCTCTCTGTCTCCACCTTTCAAATAAAATGAAAATAAATGTTTTAAAAGCCGGGTCCAAGTTAAACGCAAGGCAACACTGCACGTTTGATTGTTGCTACTTTTCTCTGCAACTGTAATTACTGAACGGTCTCTGACAGATGTCTGTCACACATACACGGGAGAGGAAGGTCGGCTCCCGGTTTTGAAGCAAAATAAAACAACACGCATTACGGGTGAGTGTGAGGTGGACGCCGGCCCGGCAATGGCGCTTTATTCATGCACTTCTCCCGCGAATGTCCCAGGCATGGAGGCGGCCCCGGCGCTCCCCGGCAGCCTCAGAGACCCCACGGGTGGAAACCGGCTCCAGGAGTGGGGTCCCCTCGCCCCATCGTCCTCACCGCCCCCGCGGCCCGCTCCCCAGGCGAGCCAGGTAGCCGCCACGCGAGAGCTCGGACAACCGGAAGTTACCCCCGCAGCCGGACCGTAAAGGCGGCGACACCGGCCGAGGTGTGCCGGAGCCTCTCCGGCTTTGGGGGCGGCCGCACGGGGGCGCTGTCTGGAAAGCTCCGGTCAAGGCGGTGGCACGTGGGGGCGGAGCCTCTGGACAGTCAGCCAATTAGCGGCGTCTCCTGAGGGCGCGTGGGCGGGACCGGGCGGAGCCGCGTCGTTGCCGGGGCGACGTGCTCCGGCGTGGAGGTCCGTGGGCTGCGGGGCGGTGCGGTGGCCCCGGGGCTGCCGCGGCGCGGAACGCGGCCGCCTGCTGCCGCGTGGGCTTCGGGGGAGCGGGCGGCGGGGTCGCCTCCGTGTCTTCCGGTGAGCGGCCGCGGCCGCTTGGGCCCCGGCGGCCCTGGGAGTCCTGTTTCGCTCTGTGGATTTTGTTTTAATTCCCGGAGTCCCCACCCACCTCACCGCGTGCTGGTGTCCTGTCTCCCGCTTTCGCAGTGTTGGCTGTTTCGTCTGCTGTCTGTCCTCATTTCTCCCTTCGCCGTCTCCCTCCGTCCGAAGCCGCGCCCCTGCCCTGCCTTAATTATTATTATTATTATTATTATTATTATTTTAGTTGCTTCCCTCAGAGGATTCTTTCTGCCAGTTTTCGGGGTGCTCTGAGCGCGGACGATGCTGCGTTCGCTGAAGGTGGCGTCCACTCCTTACTGCACCCTCGAGGCGCAGCGGTGCGGCGGCTGCCACGCCCGCGGCTCCCACGCCCGCGGCTCGGCCGGGCGCCCCGGCCCGGGGGCGTTCTTGTGACGGGCGCCTGAGGTAGGTGGGTGGGCAGGGGGCCCTGGGTGGGGTGCGGCCGGCAGGGGTGTGCTCTGGTCCTGCGTGGAGTTCGTTGGTCGTCGGCGCTCTGCAGATTTCACCTGTTGCCTTCACTTGGAAGAAATTCGTGTCTAGCGGTGCTGGGCCCCGGCTGCGGCTTCTCGAGGGCCTGGTGTCTCTTTGCCCTCACCCCCATCCCAGCCGCGGGTCATTTATGGTACTCTGGTGGCTGGGGGCACTGAAGTTGTTTGTTCACTTTTATCTGGGAGGTAGAGAGACCTGTCATCCAGCTGTCACCCGGTGGTTCACTCCCCTGGGGTGGGGGCCTGGGGAGGGAGCCGGGCTTGGAACTGGGCACTCTGGTAGGGGACCTGGGTGTCTGACCACTGCCAAACCCTTGTTCCGGCTGGAAGCTCTGGGCGTCTGCTTTCCACACGGCCTCGCCTGGGCAGGCGCTGTCTCAGCAGCTGTGGCAACCCCGGCTCTGACCTCTGCGGATCCTAGAGCCAGCGGGGAGGGGTTTCTGGCTCAGGAAACGTTCTCTGGCAGTTAAGTGGATGCTCAGGCTTCGGGGGCTCCGCAGTGCGACCCACACCTCCGGACGCCCCCAGTGTCCCTGCAGTCAGGACACAGCCACTGCCGGGGCCTCCGTGAGCTCCTGGGCCTTTCCCTGCCCTGCGCCTGGGCTGCGTTCTGCACGGCGGACTGAGTGCCGGAGTTGCCGCTCTCCTGGGCGGCCCTCGCTCGGTTTCGGTTTGCAGCTCTCTCTGGATCGACTTCTGCTGTGTTTGTGAACGTCCTTCCTCTTCACCCCGAAGATCAAAATGCCTGGAACTCCCAACCAGAGTCAGCCCCCACGGCCACTTTCCTGTCCTCACATTGTCGGAGGAAGCGAGCAGAACTAAGGCACAAGCAAATGCCGCAGGAGCCCAGCAGGGGCCGTAGCCTCCTGGGCAGCAGGCCCTGAGTGGGGAGGGCGCGTGTCCACACAAAAACCACACAAAAACCACACGGATTTTATGAACTTTCCCCTAAATTTTGAATGTTTGAGACTGTTTATTTAAAAAAAAAAATTAGACCCGTGAAGGCCACACAGCACGGGGTGAGCTGGTCCTGGGGCCAGGTGCCGGTCCTGCTGGGCAGCTTCCAGAGCAGTGGGCGTGGCAGCGTTCTCTGCCTCCTCAGGACTCCCCCTTCCTCACACTCAGGGGCGATGGCTCTTCACCCCAGGGAGTAAGGCCCAGTCTCAGAGCACCCCCTGCCCCTTGTTGGGCCTCAGTTCCCAGGGTCTGAAGGGAACAGAATCCGAGAAGGGGACTCAAAGGATCTGAGGCCCCGTGGGGAGCCCGGGCAGATCCCTGTCCCTCCTCTTTCAGAGGGGTGGGCAGCAGGGTGGGCTATGGGGAGGGGAGGTTCCCAGGCTTCTGTTTCCTAAGTCCGCCCTTAGGGAGAGAGAGCTCTGTCAGTCTTCAGGGGACCCACGTCTTGGCAGGGCCCTCCGATGAATCCAGGTTCCCCACGGCGATGCCTAACGACCTTCAAAAACCCTGCCCCTGCCCACTGCGCCCAGCAGAGTGCCTTCTCCTGGGAGGCTGACCACAGTGCTCCTGGAAACGTGAAATCACACAAGCTTCCCACAGAATGCATTTTCTCGTTTTTCCGTTTCGGAGCCCCTGCTCTGCTGGGATCACGAATATGTGCCCAGGAACCGGCATTCCGGATCCGGGCGTCAGCTCTCCAAGAGCAGGTGCAGCCCGCACTAGGGACCCCAGACCCGGAACCTTCGAAGCCAGGAACCCTGGAGGGCTGCAGCTATACGGGGACTGGGATCTGGGAGGACTTCCTGTTGTCCCTAATCCCAGTCTCCACCCGGCTGCTCCAGCCGCCGGTGCAGGCTGAGACTCCCTTCCCAGGGGAGGGGGCCCCGCTGCCCGAGGTGCCCCCTCCACCTCCGCTCCGGTGAGAAGGGTGTGCTGGGGAGGGCACTTGGATCTTGAGATCGGCATGGGTGGCCAGCTTGCAGGAGGGGACAGGGTCAAAGGAGGAAGGCTTCGGACGGGCAGGAGGGAAGGGCGTGAGCTAGGACTGGGCAGGACACTGCCGCCTGCCCGCCAGCGGGATGGACGCCCCTGGGGGAGGGGGTCGCTGGACGAGGGCAGGTTGATCTATGGGCCCCACGCGTGAGAGCATAGGTTGTGTGTCCGGGGCTGGGGACGGCAGGCCCCGATTCCTGTGCCTGTGACAGGTGCCCCCCGCCCAGCTGGGGAGCGTCTCCCGCAGAAGTCTGCTCCCGATGACAGGAATTAGAGATTCCGATTCAGTGCCGTCTTTGCCTGCCGACGGCACTGGACGTGGGGTTCTTGGTTCAGAGGCAGAGAGAATCCTACAACACAGCGTTCTTCCCACAGATGGACGCAAAGACCTTGGAGAAAGCAGGGCCCTCAGGCTGGGTATGGGAGCCTGTGCCTCACTGGGACCTCAGCCTCGGGTCCGCCGTGGGATTTCAGGGCCCCTTGGCGGTGGCTGACTTTCTTCCTCTCTTCCAGGCTCCTGGCCACAAGCTGGAGGGGGCTGGGCAGACGCAAGGGAGAAAACACTCGGCGGATCTTCCCGGCTCTGAAATCAGAAATGTCTGTGGAGGGCGGAGGCAGCCGGGCTACCGAGGACCGGGAGCGAGCCTGGGAGGTATGGATGGGGGTCCTGGGAGGGAGGCATGCCATGGAGGAGATTCAGGGCAGGGCGTGGCCCTGGGAAGGGGCAGACTCCCTGGGGTTGGGGGTCACTGCGGAGGTGGCAGGATGGGAAGTAGCGGGGCTGGGATCTGCCTGTTGAGTTCAGTCAGTGGGCACACAGGACAGCACAGGGCCTGCGGCTAACTCCCTTCTGCCTGGGGCCATGTCGCCCGTCCTTCCTGGACTGGTGTGTGTGTAATTACCACCTGCAGGGTCCCCAGGTGTCCAGTCCTGGAGGCAGGAGTCCGAGTTAGCTGCAGGCAGGTGTGTCATCTGAAACATCTGTGGGTCACAGCCTGCTGGGGGGCTGCAAGGAAACCCTGGGCCCGGGAGTCTGGGGGCGACTCGGCAGCCCGTCCGTAACAGGTAGTTACTGCGGGAGCACCACAGGGCCAGAGCCCGCACCCGCTCGGCTGGCATCACCAGCGGTGCGTATAAAGTCCCTGTCAGGGTCAGTCCTGCCGCTTCCACGCCAGGTCATCACACAATGACTTCTTAGGCGTGCATGAAATGCCCGTCGGCGTTCTCTGCTGACGCTGGTTCTGTCTGGTTCTGTCAGGACGCACAGGTAGGGTCGTAATTACCAGTGTTGCCCTGTGTTTACCCAGAGCCTCCCAAGCAGCTGGTTCTCACTCATTAAGTGTGCAACTCTGACAGCTGGCCTGAGGGTTTTCCCTTTGAGCCCCAGACGCAGACGGGGAGGGGCGTGGGTGCTGGCTTCCTGCGGGAGCCGGGCCAGCTCCGTAAGGGGCTGCAGTCTGATGTCTGGGCCTGGGTGTTTCCTGCGGCTGCTGTAACAAGTTAGCGCAGCCGGGTCCATCCTCTCAGGCCTGGAGGCCGCAGGTGCAGAACCAAGGTGCCAGCATGGCCACACTGCCCCTGCAGGCTCCGGGGAGGGTCCTTTCTGCTCCTCCAGCTTCCGGGGGCTCCTGGCATTCCTTGGTGTGAGTGCCACTGCATCTCTGCCTCTGCCTCTGCTCTGCGCCCTGTCCTAGTTTCTCTTTTTAAGATTTATTTAATTATTTGAAAGGCAGCATGACAGAGAGAGAGAGAGAGGGACAGAGAGAGAGAGCAGTGTCTTCCATCTGCTCACCTGGCTCACTCCCCAAGTGCCCACAACAGCCAGGGCGGGCCAGGCTGAAGCTGGAAGCCATGAACTCCATCTGGGTCTCCCATGTGGTTGCAGGGGCCCAAGCGCTTGGCCCATCCTCCGCTGCTTCCCTAGCACATTAGCAAGGACCTGGATTGGACGTGCAAAGTAGCTGAGGCTCGAACCAGGCGCTCCAGCACGGGACGCAGTGTCCTAAGCTGCCGCTTAACTCTCTGTGCCACCCTGCCCTGTGTCCTATTCGTGTAAGGACACAAACCAGGATTTAGGGCCCACCCTAAGTCCAGGGTGACTTCAGGAGTGGGGTGACTTCAGGATCCTGCAGCCATTTGGGGAGTGAACCAGCAGATGGATCTCTCTCTCTCTCTCTCTCTCTCTCTGCCTCTGTTTCTGTAACCCTGCCTGCCTTTAAAGTAAATATTGAAAAAAAACTTTAAAAAATAGTTTAAAATAAAAATATTTAAAAAATAAAAATATTGTTTAAAAAGTTTTTAAAAAGAATAGCAGGCCGTGCTGCGGGGTCTGTGTGAGGCTGCAGGTGAGGCGAGCCACCTGCTGGGGGCACCTTGCCACTGGCCCGTGGCGGTCTGGCCGCTGCTGGCGCGACCTTGCCTTTGGGTGTGCGTCCTACCAGCCAGGTGTCTGCTCCCGCGGGCCCTCAGGTGCGCAGCTCTAGGTCTTTCCCCCACTCTCCCCATCTGGGTGCTGATGTGGGCTCTCATTCCTAGGAGCCAAGTCGAGAAATGCAGTCTGGGCCAGAGGAGACGGTGCCTCTGGGAGCTGCTCAGGGGTCAGCATGCGTTAAGACGGAGCCGGAAGAGCCGCGTCCAGAGGAGGCACCGCAGGAGAGCGTGCAGGGCTGGCCGTCGCTGGGCCCTGGCTCTCGGGAGAAAGCGTGCTTCCTGCCTGGTGCAGGTAGGAGGCGCTCCAGAGAAGGTGCTCCCAGGGAGGCGGCTGTGGCTGAGCCCAGGTGGGGTTGAAGGTGCCTACCTGGGGGAGGGGGAGGAGCTGGGGGCTGGGCAGGCTGAGCTGAGGCCCCACGTCTGCCCACCTGACTCTCAGGCCCCTCAGCGGTCTCACAGGTTTCGGCCTCTTCTTGGGTGGGGTCAGAGTGGAGTTTGAGGCGGGGGGGGAGGGTAGGGGGGTATGGGCAAGGCCCAGCAGGACAAGGGAGCCGCTCTGAGGACGCCCTCCTCCCGCAGCCCTGCCCTCCTCCCGGATCCCCGTGCTTTCCCGCGAGGGGAGGACCAGAGACCGGCAGATGGCCGCAGCGCTTCTCACGGCCTGGTCCCAGGTGAGTGCCCCGTTGTCTCCCACGTGCCCTGGGGACCAGGCAGGGCCCTAACCTCGGCCCCCAGGTGGTGCGCAGTCCTTCCTGCAGCACCAGCCGCATTCCTGAAGCCAGGTCCCTGCCCCCACCCCACCTGGAGCTGGAGTCCATGCTGGAAAGGCCAGCGGGCTGCCCTTGTCCTGGCTCAGGGCCCACCGTCAGGCCCGGCAAGCCCCGTGGAAATGCGCAGGTGGAGAGTCCGTGAGAGCCTCTGGCTGTGACTCGTCCTCGGGGGTCTGAGCTGAGGCTGGAGCTGTGTGGGAGCCTGCGCTTGGCTGTGGTCCCTGAAGTTCCACTTTGTTCTTGTCCTCCACTCCCAGCCCCGAAGGCCAGCTGTGCCTGATGGCTCCCCCGCCCCAGCAGCAGAGCCAGGGGGCAGGGTTGGGGCCGGGGGCCTCCCTGCAGGTGTGGGCACCACTGCGCCCCTCCACCGCGTGCACGGTGTGTCCTGGAGAATGGCCGCTTCGTGTTTCAGATGCCGGTGACCTTTGAGGACGTGGCTCTGTACCTGTCCCGGGAGGAGTGGGGTCGGCTGGACCACACACAGCAGGACTTCTACAGGGACGTGCTGCCGAAGAGGAACGGGCTGGCCCTGGGTGAGGGCTCGCCTGGGGCCCTGCGATGGGGAGGCCGCCCTGTGCCTGGTGTGTCTCCCCTCCTTGCCCATCTCCTGCACTGCTCTCCAGAACCTTCTACAGTGAGGGGGACAGTTGTGTTCTGCATCTGTGCGGGCAGGGGAGCCACGAGCCTGTGGAGCTCCTGAGATGTGGCCAGAGCAGCTGAGTTTTCAGAGTTGTCAGCTCCGGCTTGTGCTGCAGTAGCCACACGTGGCTCCCATGCTGCACAGCGCTGACCCGGACCGTGTGTGTCTGCTCGCCCTCTGCTGGTGCCTAGCGTCCATGCTGCGTGTTCCTGCTCGGAGCCCCTCTCCAGGGTGGTGAGCGGAAAGCTGGGCTCTAGGCCTGGGTGCTGTCCTTGGGGGCCATGTCTCCCTGGGTTTCTCTGAGGGAAGTGTTTCAGTCCCAGGGATTTTTTTTTTTTAAAGATTTATTTATTTGGCCGGCACCGCGGCTCACTAGGCTAATCCTCCACCTTGCGGCACTGGCACACCGGGTTCTAGTCCTGGTCGGGGCGCCAGATCTGTTCCGGTTGCCCCTCTTCCAGGCCAGCTCTCTGCTGTGGCCAGGGAGTGCAGTGGAGGATGGCCCAAGTGCTTGGGCCCTGCACCCCATGGGAGACCAGGAGAAGTACCTGGCTCCTGCCATCGGATCAGCCCGGTGCGCCGGCCGCGGCGGCCATTGGAGGGTGAACCAACGGCAAAAGGAAGACCTTTCTCTCTGTCTCTCTCACTATCCACTCTGCCTGTCAAAAAAAAAAAAAAAAAAAAGATTTATTTGAGAGCAGAGTTAGGCAGAGAGAGAGAGGTCGTCCATCTGCTGGTTCACTCCCCAAGTGGCTGTGGCAGCTGGAGCTGGGCTGATCAGAAGCCAGGAGCCAGGAAGCTTCCTTTGGGTCTCCCATGTGGGTGCAGGGGCCCAAGCACTTGGGCCGTCTGCTGCTGCTTTCCCAGGCAGGGAGCTGGACGTGGAGCAGCTGGGACTTGAGCCAGCACCCATATGGGATGCTGGTGCTGGAGGCAGAGGCTTAACCTACTAAGCCACAGTGCCGGCTTCTGAGTTCATTTCAGACTCATTTTCTGGTCAGAATTTTAGGAAGACTCAGTGTTCATTCATTCATTCAGCATTCAGGCAGCATCTGGCTGTTGCACACCTGTGAGTCCACACCGAGCTCAGGGGCTTGGCACTTCCACCCGGCACCTCCGTGGTGGCCCCAGCCCCTGCTCACCCCTGACTTAGGTTTGCTCAGCACTGTTGCTCACGGTCCTCAGGGCTCAGAGCAAGTCCAGGCAGTCCTGGGGGATCAGGGGGACCTGGCACCCACGTTCAGGCTCAGGGTGCCCTAAGCCACCCTGCTGGCCCAAGGCAGACGTCTGCTCCCGTGGGCTCCGGAGGCCACACCCCTCCGTGCCCCTCCTGACTTGACCACTGTTCCCAGACTCCTCACCACTACTCTTCCCCGCCCCCACCTGCAAATGGGCCTTCCTGCCAGGACTCCTTGTTGTCAGTGGGTGCCTTCAGCCTCTTGGCCCAGGCCTTCCACTTGGCCGCTCTGCCTGCTTGCCCTGTTCCTGCCCTTGCTGGGCTACCACCTGGGGGCAGTGGTGCTGGAAGGGTTATCGCCCACTCACCTGGCCCAGCTCCCCTGCCCCCTTAGCCGTGGTGCCTGTTCAGGGAGACACAAGCAGGAGTGGGCGGTGACCCTGACCAGGGACAGACCCCAGACCCAGAGGGATTTCTCAGCCCACTCTACTTTGGCCCAGGCCCCTGGGGCCAACCTGCTTTTACCCTTCTGTCTGCCTGCGGGCAGCCCTGGAAGTGCCGGTCTGAGCGCCGCCTCTCTTGCACAGGCTTTCCCTTCGGCAGGCCTTTCTGGGCCGCTCACGTGCCGGGGAAGGGTGAGGCCTTGAGTTCGGGCCGGCCCGCGGGAGAGGCGAAGGAGAAGCGAGGCGCATGCGCAGGTGAGGGCTCCGGGGGCGGGGTGCCCCTTGTTCTGTGGGTGCAGATCCCTGGCCCTTCCTGTGGCGGGGCCAGACCCCTTCTCTGTAGAGGGAGGGTGGCTCTTGGTTCCAGGGTTTCCCCCCGGGTCCTGACCTCTTTTAGCCCTGCGCCCCCATCCCGCGCCGGGGCCCCTCCAGTCCTGCTGGATACCCTTTCTTCCTGCAGAATCGCTGGAGGCGGGGAAGGAGGCGCCATTCCCCTTGGTGGCCGCCCCTGGCGATGCGAAGCCCTTCGGAAGCCGGCTGGGGGCTCCAGGGGACGCCCTGCAGTGCGGGCAGCAAGCAGCCAGCGGCCAGGGCGCAGAGCCCGTCCGAGTGGAAACGGGGTCTCCGGAGGAGACGCAGCCAAAGCCAGTCCCGCCCGACCCTCGTGGCCCGAAGCCCCAGGAGGGCCGCGCCCCTGAGAAACCCAGCGAGGAGGAGAAGGGCGCCCCCGAGAGCGGCGAGGAGGGCCTGGGCCCCGACGGCGACGCGGCCCGGAAGACCTACAAGTGCGAGCAGTGCGGCAAGGCCTTCAGCTGGCTCTCGCACCTGGTGACGCACCGGCGCACGCACACCGGCGAGAAGCCCTACGCCTGCACGGACTGCGGCAAGCGCTTCGGCCGCAGCTCGCACCTCATCCAGCACCAGATCATCCACACGGGCGAGAAGCCCTACACCTGCCCGTCGTGCTGGAAGAGCTTCAGCCACCACTCGACCCTCATCCAGCACCAGCGCATCCACACCGGCGAGAAGCCCTACGTGTGCGACCGCTGCGCCAAGCGCTTCACGCGCCGCTCGGACCTGGTCACCCACCAGGGCACCCACACGGGCGCCAAGCCGCACAAGTGCCCCATCTGCAGCAAGTGCTTCACGCAGAGCTCGGCGCTGGTCACCCACCAGCGCACCCACACCGGGGTCAAGCCCTACCCGTGCCCCGAGTGTGGCAAGTGCTTCAGCCAGCGCTCCAACCTCATCGCGCACAACCGCACGCACACGGGCGAGAAGCCCTACCACTGCCTCGACTGCGGCAAGAGCTTCAGCCACAGCTCGCACCTCACCGCCCACCAGCGCACGCACCGCGGCGTGCGGCCCTACTCCTGCCCGCTGTGCGGCAAGAGCTTCAGCCGGCGCTCCAACCTGCACCGGCACGAGAAGATCCACACCACCGGGCCCAAGGCCCTGGCCATGCTGATGCTGGGGGCCGCGGCGGCGGGGGCGCTGGCCGCTCCCCCGCCGGCTCCCACCTAGGAGGCCGGGGACACTCAGGGCGCCTGGGACAGCCCAGTGGAAGGTGAGGCCCAGGGAGGAGCAAGGGCCTTGACACTGGGAAGGGAGCTGGGGCGGAGCAGGCATGGGGTGGGGCATGAAGATGTGGGCGGAGTGAGGGGAGGAGCAGCTGCCTATTAAAGGCCTTGGAATTCCAGCGATGGCCACAGCTCTGTCTCAGGGGCCCTGGCGCCGAGCCTGAGTGTGGCGGGTTCTGGACCAAGCGGGCGTTTGTTCAGGCATCCTGAGTCTGCCCCGTCGTCGGCTGCATTCCAGAGGGCTGGGGCCCTAAGTCTGCCAGCAGGTTTCTGAGTAGCAGGCTTCCCAGTGTGAAGCCAGCCAGTTGGCCACTGGTGCCAAGGGCACAGCCCACTGAGCCCTTTTGGGGGCCAGGAGTAGGGCAGAGCCAGCTAGGACACTTCTGCCACCCCACTGCCCATCTCAGGCGTGTCTGAGCGCTGGTCCATTCTTGCAGCCGCTGCATCACCTCCTTGGCCCCGTGGTAATTTGCCCTGCCCACTGTTCCCAGCTCTGTTTGGTTCCTGGCCTTCCTTTGGTTTTTAACTTCCGTGGCTTCCAGGTTCCAATCCCCCCCCCCCCCCCCCCCCCACTGAAGGAGGGGTGGGCTCAGCCTGAGATGACATTCAGCCCTGACACCAACTGGCCACGAGACTGCAACCGGGAGGCCACAGCTAGCTCCGTGGGTCACAGGGCACCTGGGTGGCCACAGCCCTGGTTGCTCCTGGCTCCTGGGGGCTGCAGCGGCTCGAAGTCGGTGGAGGTCAGGCTGCCGGGCGGGGGACAGGCCCCGTATAGACGGCGCCTGTACTCAGCAAGGCTGACCAGGTTTATCACCCCAGAACAGACCAGGTGGTGGAGGCTGAGAGACATTCTGGAACAACTTGGAATCCACGTGTGGGGCTGCAAGGACCAGCCCTGATCCAGGGCCTGCAGCGGCAGACTGAGCGGTGTGTGGGATGGTGAGGCAGGGCTGTCGGGCGAGGAGGCCCATGGAAGCAGCTGGACGCCCGGCAGGACGTGGTGGTCTGCGAGGTCTCAGCGGCCGCTGGCAGGGTTGGTTGAAGAGGCCGGAAAGAAAGCGGATTGTCTCAGCCTGTCATGGCTGCCGGTACTCAGCTAGAGATGGGATTTTTCCGCTCAATGAGGTGGGGCCGGGGTGGGGGGCGTATTAGCTTTTTGTCATAACTAAAATACTTAGGAAAGTTTATTTCTAGCTTATAGTTTTGGAGGCTCACCGTCCAAGGTTGGGGGGCCCAGTTTGGCGTCTGATGATGGCAGAAGGTGTGCCAGGGAAGGGTCACCTGGCGAGCCGGGAGGCTCAGAGAGAGGAGGAGACAGGAAAGAGCCAGGTCAGTCTCCAGGAAGCGACCCTTTCTCAAGGAGCCAGACTCCTCCCACAGGGCCCACCGCCCAGATGCCGTGATTAGATCCAGAATCTACTCGATCTACTAGTATAGGACCAACCCCTCAGTATGTGGTCCTTAGGGGACATTGAGACCACTACGGGGACTCAGTCCTAAAGCAGGCTTGCGCTCACGGGGCTGGCTGATGACCCAGCGAATTATCCAGGGGCTGCACTGCCTCCCGGGAGCCCAGGGGCCAGGGTGTGGGGGGAAGGCTTCCCCTTCACAGCCACAGGACTCCAAGCGACCCACTGACTGTGCCACAGGTGGCCCTCCCCTGCCCGCTTGTGCCCAGGGACCCTTCCAGAAGTCACCATGCTGGGACAAGTGTGGCAACAAGAGTGGAACTGGGAAGTCCTAGATAAGAGCCAATGAGACCAGGGAGGCAGCTGGCGCTGTGTCGCGGCGGTGGGGGTACGCGTGAGGGGTGGGCGTTGGGGCCCCAGGTCCGAGATGGGGAAGCCAAGGGTCGTGGCGTGTCTGGGTGGAGGGGAGGCGGCTCAGGGGCTCGCCTTGGCTTCCACCGCAGACCCCGTCCTGACGGGGTTACCGCTGACCTGCGCGGTCAGCAGCAGGCCGAGGGGTGAGGGGCCGGAATGCTTCCGTGTCCGCTTCCACCCCCTTCCCTGCGGCCTGTGCGAGGCCGGCTGTGGCTCCAAGGCCCTGCTGTCGGTGCGTGGAGCCCACCGAGGGCTGCCGCCCCCGGGAGGGGCTAGGGTTTGCGCGCGCCTGGCCCCTGGGTCTGGAGGCCCGGGGTTCCCACGGCGCCGACCGCCGCGCTGGATCGAAGCCGGACGCTCCGCCCTTCCCGTGGCTCTCAGCCAATCAAACGTCGGGGCGGAACTAGCAGAACTGGCCAATCACGACGGGCGTTTGTGCTCCGAGCAGCTCCTCCCCTTCCACGGTTGCCCGGGTAACCGCCCACGGCCCCGGGCTGGCCCGCTTCGCGTTCTCCGCGGAGATCCCACAGATCCTTCCCTGACTTCCGGCTTCGCGCGACCGCTGCCGGTTCCGACGTCGGCCTGGTCGGAGGCGCCCTGAGTCCTCTGGGCTCCCGGGCAGTGGCGGGCGGAGCGTGCGGGGAGCCGGCCGCGGGGGAGATTGAGGCGGGCGAGGCCCGCGGTGAGGGTGAGGATGAGGGTGCAGGGCCGGGAGACGTGGCCGTCCCAGGTGCGGCCCTGCTGCGTCCGCGCGTTCGTTTTCCAGGACGAGGTGGATGCTCGCGGAGCTGAGGTGACGCCGGGGCTGGGGGCTGTGGCCCGTGGAGCGGACAGTGGCGAGGTCCTGAGGGCGCCCCTCGCGCTCCGGCACCCGGGGGCACCCCGCTGTTAGCTGACGAGGCTCCGAGCGGGCCGAGGGTTCGGAGGAGCCTCCCGAGACCATCCGAGCGAGGCCCGGGCGAGCGTTGCGGGGAGCCGGTGCGGGAGGCTTGGGGGCGGGAGCCGCTGACCTCTCCCGCCGCCAGCGTTTGCGAGTTGGCAGCAGCGGGACTGTGGCAGGGAGAGGGCGGGCGTAGCTGACTGACGGCGGGGCAGGTCTCCGCCCTGCTGTCCCTTAGGTGGCGGGTTCCCCCAGGGAGCTCGGCTGTTTGGGCTGGGGCTCTGGATCGCTCGCTCCCCCGAGGTCTGCGTCTTAGCCGTTCCCCGGCAGGTAGCCCCTGAAGGTCGCAGGCAAGCCCCTGCTGGAGAGGCAGTCTGGCTGGTGACGAGGCGGCCAGCGAGCTTTCTCCTGGTGCAGGAGGTGCCTTCCGCTGAGAGGAGCCTCGGGTGGGGGGTTCGGGCCGTGCTCAGTAGCTCTCCCTTCGGCCTTAGGTCCGTCTGGCGTCTTCCCCCAGAGCCGCCCACCGCGGAGCCCAGGTGTCCTCCCGCTGACTCTTTAAGCTTGAACTCTACCACGAACACCCTGCCCTGTTCCGCGTGCCGCCCCTGGAGTCCACTCTCGCCCTCCATCCCCAGGCTTCTTTTGTGCAGACAGGCACAGGCCGATACAGACTTCTCTGTGTGTGAGCCGTCTCCTCTTGGTGGGTCATCGGCGCGCTCTCAGCTGGGAGCGTGCTGAGCTGAGACCCCACTCGTGGCTCTGTTGCTAACCGCCGCGTGGGGGGGGGGAGGGGCTCGAGGACAATGGGCACTTATCCCAGGATGCGCAAGCAGAGGGTTTCCACCGTCAGGGGAGGCTCAGAAGGAGGGGTCATCAAGACTGTGTTTCATCTGGACCCAACAGGTGCCGAAGCACCGCCCAGTAACTATGTTCTAGTTCTGGACTTGACCAAGAGAAAGAAGGAGCAAGCTGGAGAATAGCAAGCAGCACGTGTGGTTTTTTTTTTTTAATACTGTAATGCTGCAATGAATGTCCTTGAAATTTTTTTAAAGATTATTTATTTGAAAGGCAAGAGTTACAGAGGGGCAGAGAGACAGACTGACCTTCCATCCACTGGTTCACTCCCCAAATGGCTGCAACAGCCAGAGCTGTGCACAGTGCCGGCCCTCGGGCACTCAGGTGTTAGCAGTACACCACTGGGGTGGACATTTGTGCAGCAGGTAAGATGCTGCTTGAGGGGCCGGCGCTGTGGCGTAGCAGGTAAGCCGCCACCCTCAGTGCTGGCATCCCGTATGGGTGCCGGTTCAAGTCCCAGCTGCCCTGCTTCTGATCCAACTTTCTGCTGTGGCCTCGGAAAGCAGTGGAAGATGGCCCACGTCCTTGGGCCTCTTCACTTACGTGGGAGACCTGGAAGAGGCTCCTGGCTCCTGGCTTCGGATCAGCGCTGCTCCAGCCCTTGTGGCCGGAGTGAACCAACAGATGGGAGACCTCTCTCTCTGTAACTCTGCCTTTCACATAAATAAATTAAACATAAGTTGCTTGGGATACCTGCATCACCTGCATCTCACATCAAGTGCCTGGAATAGGGTCCTGGCTCTGCTCTGTAGTCCACCTCCCTGGTAACGCACATCCTGGGAGGCAGTGGGTGCTGCCCTGAGAGCTGGGTCTGTTCCACTCATCCAGGAGACCGAGACTGAGTTCCTGGCTCCTGGATTTGACCTGGCCCAGCCATGGCGGTTGTGAGCTGGGTCTGTTCCACTCATCCGGGAGACCGGGACCGAGTTCCTGGCTCCTGGATTTGACCTGGCCCAGCCATGGCGGTTGTGAGCTGGGTCTGTTCCACTCATCCGGGAGACCGGGACCGAGTTCCTGGCTCCTGGATTTGACCTGGCCCAGCCATGGTGGTTGTGAGCTGGGTCTGTTCCACTCATCCGGGAGACCGGGACCGAGTTCCTGGCTCCTGGATTTGACCTGGCCCAGCCATGGCGGTTGTGAGCCTTTCAAGAGTGAAACAGCTGGCCCCGCGGCTCACTAGGCTAATCCTCCGCCTGTGGTGCCGGCACCCCGGGTTTTAGTCCCCGCTGGGGCACCGGTTCTGTCCCGGTTGCTCCTCATGGGAGACCAGGAGGAGGCACCTGGCTCCTGGCTTTGGATCGGCACAGTGCACCGGCCGTAGCGGCCATTTTGGGGGGTGAACCAACGGAAGGAAGACCTTTCTCTCTGTCTCTCTCTCTCACTGTCTAACTCTGCCTGTCACAATCATCTACACAGCAGATCATATTAAGTGAAGCAGCAGATGGGAGACCTGTGTCTTTTTCTCTGCCGTTCTAAAACACTAAAAACAGACCTATACTGCTGGACTTCTTGGGTCTGCAGCTTGCATATCATGGAATTTCTCAGCCTCAGAATTGTGCAAGTTAATGCTTTATCTTAAGCCTATATGCATTAGCAACTTGACATTAACAAATTGTACCAGGTAAAATATTTATTGTTTGGGTTAATTACATGATTAAAAGCACAAAGCCCACATAGCCAGTGATCCTGTAATGCTTAGGGTTCCCTGCCAACAAGGGGCCAGCATCGTGGCACAGCTGGTTAAACCACCGTCTGTGAAGCGGCATCCCACATGGGCACTGGTTCGTGTCCGGGCTGCTCCACTTATGATCCAGCTCCCTGCTAACGTCTTGGGAAAGCAGTGGCGGATGGCCCAGGGGCCACCCCGGATGAAGCTCCTGGCTCAGTCCTGTCCATTGGTGGTCATCTCGGGAGTGAACTAGCAGATGGAAGGTCTGTCTCTCTCCCTCTCTAACTTTGGCTTTTAAATAAAAATTGAAAAAAAAAAAATTTAAGAAAGCCAAAAAACCCCAAAGGAGACATTTTTATAGAGGGAAAAAGGTCTCATGGGACATGCAGGTCTGGGGCCAAGGAGCTGGCCTAGTCCCCATCTCTCCTGCCCCTGCTGCAGACCACTCCCACCCCTCACCCCCACATGCTCGCATTCGATTATCTTGTGCCTCTCAAACCAGAGGAGACGCAGCCTGTGCCAGTTCATGTGACCGTGCAACTGCAGGGAGAAGCGACTGGAATCTTCTGGATTCTGGCCTCCGGGCGGAGAGCAGCTCTCTGATCCGGTTTGAGCAGACTCAGGAGACACAGACGTGAAAGCCGGGAAGCCCCAGGGGCTGGAGTGAGAAGTGGAGGGGCTCGGGCGGGCTAAAGAGCAGCAGAGAGAGGCGTCACAGCTGTCACCTGTCACTCAGGACGACATCTGTCATGCATTTGCATTCCAGGAACATAACACATCCTTCACATTCCGGGGGACTGCGCCAGCCCCCACCCCAGGACCACAGCTGGAAAAACGCTGACCCCGGCGTTGCCCGCTGTCCACCATTCGTGGCTCCACTCCGCTGCTGCCTGTCTGCTGGCTCGTGGTCTCTTCCAGGTCACCTGTGTACCTGGGACACAGAGCTGGCCACTGCAGCACCGGTGGCTCAGGCCGGGCCTCCACGGCCTGCTGGTGCTGTCTGCGCACAGACGCGGCCTTGCTGAACGGCAAGAGGTGCCCGCTCTGAGGGCAGCAGGGAAGAACCAGGTTTGCCTTTCTGTCTTCTGCGACTTCTCCAGCGGAAGCCTGATGTCGCTCGCGGGCTGGCCAGTGTGTGCCGGCGGAGGGCGATGGGAGGACGCCGCCGGCCGCAGCTCCAGCGGGGGACGCTGTGCTTCCCGGCGCAGTGCTCCTCGGGGCCGGCAGGGGCCAGGCAGGGCGCCCCGCGCTCTCCCGCGAGGTCTCCAGGGGCGGCCGCTCGCTCTTATCGGGGGCGAAGCTGCCTCGACTGGAAGAGAGGGGCTCCTGTGACCTAAGAGCTGCTTCCTGCAGGTGCTGCTTCTGTAGCTTTTAGAAATCTCTGCTGCCCTTGGTAGTTAACCTTGCTTTTCAAGTTAGCATTTTTTTTTCTTATTAGAGAGAGCGCTGCTGTCGACGGCTTCATTCCCCAGCTGCCTGCAGTGGCCCGGGCTGGGGCCGCCACTCACCCCACGCTGCTGCCTCCTGGGCTGCAATCCCAGCTACTGGGCCCTCCCCTAACCTAACAGTTTTCATATCAAATATTATCTATTCAGATAACTGGTGTGGTTTTTATTTTGTGATCAGAGCAGACATACAATGGGGATAAACAGTCACAATTTTAAACTACCTTGGAATACACTTGAGATGCAGCAACTACATTTAAAAAGAAAAAAAGGAAAAGCTACAACATTTTTTAAGTAATGGAAGAGTTAAATACATGTTTCTGGATGTGAAAACTTGTATAATTTCTCCCCAATATTAAGCCATTTGTTTAATGAAAATAAATAAATTTCTGATCCAGCTCCCTGCTAATGTGCCTGGGAAGGCAGTGGAGGATGGTCCAAATACTTGGCTCCTGCACCCAAGTGGGAGAACCAGAAGAAGCTTCTGGCTCCTGGCTTCAGCTCAGCTCAGCTCTGCAGAGTTGAACCACCTGAGCCATTTGGAGAGTGAACCAGTGGATGGGAGACCTCTCTCTCTGTCTCTAACTCTTTCAAATGTATATAAAAAATACAAAACTAACGGCTCATAATAATCAACAGGACATAACAAAATTATAAAAACAAATTGAGGTCTGTAATAGAATTTAGATCTAAAACCTGAAAGAGAACAGGTTAAGCCACTGCAGTGCTGGCATCTCACGGGCACAAGTCTCAAGTCCCAGCTGTTCCATTTCTGATCCAGCTCCTGGGAAAGCAGCAGAAGGTGGCCTGAGTCCTTGAGCCCCTGCACCCATGTGGGAGACCTGGCTGGAGTTCCTGGCTCCTGGCTTCAGCCTGGCCCAGCCCTGGCCATTGCAGCCATTTGGGGAGTGAACCAGCAGATGGAAGATCTCTTCTGTTTCTCCTTATGTCTAATTCTGCCTTTCAAATACATCTTTAAAAGTTTTTTTAAAAATGTAAGAGGAGTTAAGAGGATGGAGGATGGACTGTTGTCACACTGTTTAAACTGGGCTGGATTAATTTTATACTTCTTTCATTTCACCTAAACAAAACCCATATGGAGTAAATTTAAAAATTGAAAATCACGGAGTTCTACAAGTATAGGTAAATTTAGTATTAGAGTACAAATGCCTTTCTTAGCCTGTTTCCAGTGGAATAAGCCATATGGGAATAGTACTGGAGCTTTAACATTTGAAATTTCTGTATTGGAATAAAAACACAACATCCAAACACTTGATTAGTATGAAAAGATAAGCTACAATATGCGAAAATATTTGCAACACAACATATTTTAAAGAGTAAATTAACATTCAATACAATAAGCGGCCACTGAGTGTTTACTGCATGTCTGGCTGTGTTAGCATACCCTTGATGTGTAAAGTCAAACATTAATGTCCCAGAACAAGTGTTTAACCTAGTGGTGAAGACATCTGTGGGGCTTAATAGCTCCACTTCCGGACTCCAGCTTGTTACTAATGCAGACCCTGGGGGGCAGCAGAACAAACTGAAGTACTTGGGGTCCTGCGGCCCTTATGGGAGACCTGGATTGTCTTCCTGGCTCGTGGTTCCTGCCCTAGCTGTGCCCTGGCTGTTGTGGGCATTTGGGGAATGAACCTGTCGAAGGGAGCTGTGTCTGTCTCAAAATTTTAAAAAGAATATTGCAATAGAAAAACCAGGATATAATAATGGTCTGTTCACAAAATGATAAATAGAATAGTCAGTAGTAACTGAAGAAGAAAGCCTTTCAGCTTCCTTAGAAATGATAATGTAATCTGGAATTCTAATCGTGGACTAATCTGTGCGTGCAGTGAGAGCCGAAAAGCACTGGGCGCGGTGCCTGGCGCAGGCTCCATCTATCTGCTCACCGAACTGACTTCAAGGTTTAATGTGCACAACCCCAGAGCTTATCGGAAACTTCATGAAGCTGTTCACGAACCCTGTGGAACTGGGTTGTAAATCCCCGCATGTGGGGGACGGGGAGGATAAACATGCGCAAGATTTTTAACCCTTTCTGGAGGAGGACAGTTGGAAATATGTATCCGAAGCTGATTCACCGACTTCCTTACTACTTTTTCCCAAGGGAAGTTTCAGCAAATACACCAGGGTGTGTGTAGAAGGCAGATACAGAACAACGGACACGGTGAACGTCCAAGGGCCGGTCACTTTACGTAAGACATGCAATGCCGCGCTATGGAATACTGCTGAGCTTGCAGAATCGATGAATCATACACAGGGACATGCAAAGAGCCGGATACACTGCTGAGGACATAAACAAGGGGACGTTACCGATGGTCCCCGACGCGCTTCACAAATGCATCCATGGGCCAGCGCCGGCTCACTAGGCTAATCCGCCTGCGGCGCCGGCTCCCTGGGTTCTAGTCCCGGTTGGGGCGCCGATTCTGTCCTGGTTGCCCCTCTTCCAGTCCAGCTCTCTGCTGTGGCCCGGGAAGGCAGTGGAGGATGGCCCAAGTGCTTGGGCCCTGCACCCGCATGGGAGACCAGGAGAAGTACCTGGCTCCTGGCTTCGGATCAGCAGGGCGGTGACGGGTCTGCCCCCCGTGGAGCCCAGGCATTGGGAGACAAACAACAGGTGAATATATGTCAGCTGGCGAGGAAACAGGCACAACATTAAGGCAAGGCAGAGGCTGCCTACATGGCGGTGGCCTGTTTAAGGGTGGCACTTGGGCAGAGGGAGCGAGCTAGCGAGTATCAAGGGAAAGGGATGGCTTATTTCTCAACATTTCTTAATTTTCTTTTCCAAGCATGCAATACATGCATCATTCAAAATAAACCCTTTGCATTTCTGGAACAAGGAGGTCTGGAGCCCGGAGGCGCGGGTCCGAGCGAGGCGAGCCCGGGAGTCCGGACGCAGCCTGCCGGCTCTGGGTCCCTCCGCACAACCCAGCGGGACTCGCCGTGGGAAGCTGCTCCGCGCCCCTCGCTGGATTCCACTTCCAAGGGAGCTCCCCGGCCGCCGAAGACGAGGAGCGCGTGCCCGAGCAGCGGCTGGGCAGGCTCCCCGGCCGCCTTCGGACTGCTGAGGCCGGCCCGGCGCATCCCCACCGGCCGAGCGGGCCTCGCGGCTGAGGCAGCTGCGGTCTCCGCTCGCCAGGCCAGCCTCGGGTTCCTCCGCTCGCCTCATAGGGGCGCAGGGAAACGCGACACAAAGGCAGGGACCAAGGACAGGCCGGCCAGTCAGGCCGCGAACCCCCGCCCTCCATCGCAGGTGCCTGAATGAGGCCGCGCACGGCGCTTGGCGTCGCTTCCTTCTGATTGGTCGGCTCTGCGCATCCTCTCTGTTCATTGGCCACAAGGCAAGGGCCGTGGCCTTCTGGGGGATGTAGTTTTGAAGTCTGACGCGGTGTGGTCGCCGGCGAGCCTCGCGCGGACTTCCGGCGCCGAGAGCGGTGGCGGAAGTGGGCGGGCCTGGGAGGCAGTCGGGGGTGTGTTTCCCGGCGGCGGGGAGCGGCGTCGGAGGCATCCGCGGTCCGAGTCCCGCGCGGCGGCCGGAGGGGGCGTGCACCGCTGGCGAGAGCGCGCTCGGCCCCTGGGCTGGCCCCCGGGCTGGCCTCCGGCCGCCCCCTCCGCTGCGCGCGGGGTACCGGCTGGGTCGGCGTCCCCGCCCGCCGCGTCCTGCCGAGCGACCCTGGTGAGTCCGGGCCCTCTCGGGAGAGACCCTTCGGAGGAGAGAATGGCGCGCGTGCGTTTCGGGGGTTTTGTGAGGAGCGGAAGAATAAAGAAGGTGCTTGGTGTGGCGTAGCCACCCGAATGCCGCGGTCGGCTGTGGTCGAGCCTCCGGAGGAGCTCCCGCCGCCGAGGAGCCGGAGCGTGTGTGCCGCGAGCTCGCGCCCGCGGGGGCGCGCGTCAAGCCCCTTGCCCCCGTGTCTGTGGAGAACATTCCGGTAGAAAACGGGAGACGGTCCGGACGTCGGGTGTCGGACTGTGGGGGTGAGGCACTTGGCGAGGAGGGGAGAGCCGCTCTTTAGCGTTTCCTGCGTTGTTTAAATATACACCCCCCCCCCTTTTAAATTGAATGGTGTGTGTGACTTTTATTGTCGAAACCTCAGAAATTAAAGGAAATTCCAAAATACCGCTTTTCGGAGCTCTTGTGAGGAGGCCACTGCGAGGGCTGGAAGCGCGCGAGCGTTCCCACGGAGTCGTGCGTGAATGGCGGGGGTTCTCCCACAGCCCTCGGCCCGCGGGCTCTGCAAGTCGGAGTCTTCGAATCGGAGGAAGCCAGCACAGCGCGCCTGTGATCCATCCCATAACGGCCCCCGAGCACGGTCGGTGGCACGCGCGCGCCATTTGTGACCGAGTATGCCACACGTGCAGAAGCTCAGGCCGTGAGGACGCCCCGGACGTCTGCATAGAACAATAGGCTGCCGTGTCTGCCGTGACACTGGACTGGCGCGGCGTGGAATCCGTGCAGGTTAGGTGCGTCGCCGTCGGCGCCGGGGCGTGCAGTGCTGCCTCCTGAGGGAGGGTAGGTGTTGCTGTCAGCTGACCCTGGCTCCAGGGTGAGGCCTGTATTAGCCGGAGTCACTGAGCCTCCAGTTCCGCTGGGCAAGCCGGCCGGGCATCGCTGGGCATCGGGGGCTGGAGTCCCTGCCGTCCTGTGGGCGGGGCTTAGCTCGTGGGTGGGCACGCTTCAGAAAGTTGGTAGAAAAATGGAATTAAAAGTGAGTTTTATTTTGGTGCAGAAGTTGAATTTCATATATAGGGTTATCATTATTATTATTAATATTATTATTGACAGGCAGAGTGGACAGAGACAGAGAGAAAGGTCTTCCTTTGCCATTGGTTCACCCTCCAATGGCCACCGCAGCTGGCGCGCTGTGGCCGGTGTACCGCGCTGATCCGATGGCAGGAGCCAGGTGCTTCTCCTGGTCTCCCATGGGGTGCAGGGCCCAAGCACTTGGGCCATCCTCCACTGCACTCCCGGGCCACAGCAGAGAGTTGGCCTGGAAGAGGGGCAACCAGGACAGAATCCGGCACCCTGACCGGGACTAGAACCCGGTGTGCCGGCGCCACAAGGCGGAGGACTAGCCTATTGAGCCATGGTGCCAGCCTATTATTATTATTATTATCTAAAAAAGTTATTTGCAAGGCGGAGTGAGAGAGATCCTCCCTGTGCTGGCTCACTCCCCAAACAGCCACAATGGCCGGGGCTGGGCTAGGTCACAGCCAGGACCCTGGAACTCCATCCAGGACACGAGTGTGGGTGGCAGGGACCCAAGCACTTGGGCCACCTCGGCTGCTTTGGTAGGCCCGCGAGCCGGGCTCTGGGAAGTGGAGCGGCTGGGACTGGAATAGGCACTGCGCCATGCCAGCGTCACAGGCGGCGGGTTAACCCACGGCACCAAGGCACCCGCTGTTTTTTCCTAATACACGTTTTCCATGAACTTTCTGAAGCCGGTGTCCCGCCCCCGTCCCCAGTCCTGCTCTTTTCCTCTCTCCCCAGGAGTGTCCAGATGCCAGTGCGGCCGTCGCAAGGGATCCCTCTGGGAGACTGAGAGGGCAGCCTCCGGGCCGGGCCGAGCACTGGGCCGGGGGCATGGCAGCCCCCCCGGAGCCCCCGAGCCAGGCCTGTGGGGAGGGAGAAGAGCTGCTCGTCGTGAAGGTGGAGGATTGCTCCTGGGAGCAGGAGTCTGCCGGACCGGAAGACAGCGGGGACTCGGAGGCCTGCCGCCAGCGCTTCCGGCACTTCCGCTACAGGGCAGCCGGAGGGCCCCACGAGGCCTTCAGCCGGCTCTGGGAGCTCTGCTGCCGCTGGCTGCGGCCCGAGCTGCGCTCCAAGGAGCAGATCCTGGAGCTGCTGGTGCTGGAGCAGTTCCTGGCGGTGCTGCCGGGCGACATCCAGGCCCGCGTGCGGGAGCAGCAGCCCGGGAGCGGTGAGGAGGCCGTGGTCCTGGTGGAGGATCTGCAGAAGCAGCCAGCCAAGGCCGGGCCCCAGGTGAGGGGCCCCCCTGTCCAGGGCACCTGCGCTGTAGAGACGGGCCGTCTGCAGAGACGAGTCCTCAGGAGGCTCGTGGGCCAGGGCAGCGTGTGCAGGCAGCGTAGAGTAGTAGGGAGTGCCCGAGACCCTCTCAGGTAAATGCGGTTCCTGTGGACTTGTTCCGGAAAGTGGGGCTTAGCGCCACGCACTCTCTGCAAAGGTGTATTTGTTTCTGCTCCAGGCCAGGCCTTGGGGATGCCGGGCATGCGCGCAGGTGCCTGAGGGGGTGTGGGAAGGTGGCACCCTGATTTCTCCTCGGGTGTTGGGTCCTGCACACTGGGAGCACCTGGCGGGAGGGGTGTGGGGCTGCTGGGTTGTGGGGTTCTGCCCTTGGCAGGAGGAGCCCCTCCTTCGTCCCTTTCCTAGTGGCTGTGCCTCCCGGCCTGTGGGGCTGCTTCTTGCTCCGAGGTTGACCGAGGCGTGTGCTCCAGCACCCGGCACTGCTTTGCGTCCCATCCTCCTCTGCACTTCCCTGGGCCTCCACGTGGGTTGCTTTCCCCGTGCCGCCGCATCCTCAGGGACACGCCCCGCGTCTCCTTCCCAGGGGTTAGATTCTGCCTCCATCTGCTCTCGGTGCTGACGGGCGTGTTGTGGTTCCCGCACAGGATGTGCCCTCAGAGGATGCGGAATCCAAGGCTGTGGCCCAGGAATCCTCGGATAAGGGGCCTCCTGCAGCGGCCGGGGCCCGGAGCCTGCCACAGGTGGCCCAGGAGCAGCCCCGGCGTGGTGGTGAGTGACCCTCTGGTGGCCGGCAGGGCCTGGCTCCCCTGGCATGGCTGTGAGGGGCACGTGCGAGCCAGTGCAGGGGGGCTGCGAGGCTCCAGGCCCCGGCCTGCGCTGCTGCTCTCAGGCGCCTTCTCTCCCTGCAGCCCCGCTTCCTGCTCCTCCTGAAGAGGGGGCTCCCAGAGACACGGCGCAGGCCTGCTTTGCACCTGGGGTCTGTGTGAGTTACCCGTCCCTCTGCACGCTCTGACGCCCCGCCTGCTCTGACCTCTCCTGTCCGCCCTCCCTCGGCTGCCCGGGAGACCTGATGGGTGGAGGCAGGCCTGAGCCAGGTCTTCTCATTCCAGGGCCCCGTGGCGTTGGGAGAGATTCCTTTCTATTTCTCCCGGGAAGAGCGGGGCTCTCTAGACCCGGCTCAGAGGGATCTCTTCTGGGACATAAAGCGAGAGAACTCCCAGAACACTGCGCTGGGTAGGTGGGTGCAGGACCTCTGGGCCCCTTCCCCGTGGGGGTCCCTCTGCGAGCCCTCAGCCGGTTTCCAAAGTGGGCCTTCCCTGGCCTCCTGAGAGCCATGTGGTTCCTCTTGCGCTGGCTGTGTTCCATGTACGCCATGCGTGTATCGTGTGCCGTGTGCAGACGTGTGCGCCATGCGTGTATCACGTGCCATGTGCAGGATGTGTACTCCGTGTATCGCGTGCCGTGTGCAGGATGTGTACTGCGTGCGTGTATCGTGTGCCATGTGCAGGACATGTACTCCATGTATCGTGTGCCGTGTGCAGGATGTGTACTCCATGTGCGTATTGTGTGCCGTGTGCAGGACGTGTACTCCATGTATCATGTGCCGTGTGCAGGACATGTGCTCCATGTATCGCGTGCCGTGTGCAGGACGTGTGCTCTGTGCGTGTATCGCGTGCCGTGTGCAGGATGTGTGCTCCATGCATGTATCGCGTGCCTTGTGCAGGACATGTACTCCATGTATCATGTGCCATGTGCAGAAGTGTGCTCCATGTGTGTATCGCGTGCCGTGTGCAGGACGTGTACTCTGTGTATTACGTGCCGTGTGCAGGACCTGTGCTCCGTGTGTGTATCATGTGCCGTGTGCAGGACGTGTACTCCGTGTATCGCGTGCCGTGTGCAGGACGTGTACTCCATGTATCGCATGCCGTGTGCAGGACATGTGCTCCATGTGTGTATCGCGTGCCGTGTGCAGGATGTGCCCGTGTTGGCCATTTTTCTCTCCGGTTCTCACACCTGGTGCATCAGGGTGTTGTCCCCACTTCACAGAGGAGGGAGCAAAGACTAGGAGCGGGTCGGGTGTGCTGTGAGGTCATGTCAGCAGGTGCAGGGGTGTGGATGGAGTGCACCAGCTGCCCACCAAGCCTGGCCTTGCCCCTGGCCACACGGGGCCCTCTTCGCCCAGGCAGAGCCTCTCAGCGACGTCTCATTTAACCCGCACCACCCGGTGGGTTGGACCAGGACCCCTCCCTGTCCAAATGTGTGGCCTGAGACCGAGCACCCGAGCTTGTGGAGTGAGGGAGCCGTGGCAGCCAGCCCCAGTGGGTCCCTCAGCTTCCCACAGGGCGCTTGGGGGAGCTTGCCGGGCTAACGTGACTCTTCCGTGTTGGGGTTTGGACAGCCAGGTTCGGAGAGGGAGCGCCTGACTGAGAGAGACTTGTAGTTGGCCCAGGGTCAGAATTAGCAGGCGCCTCCGGGGGCCGGAGCTGGACTCCTGGACGCTTCCTGGGCACCGCTCCCTGCGGGAACTTGATCATCGTCCCCACTTTGTAGATGAAGAAGTGGAGGCCCAGGCTGTGCGAGAGCCAGGGAGGAGGGGTCCCCCTGAGCAGCGTTGTCCTCACTTGGCCCTGACCCCGAGCCGCGCGGGACTGAAGAGGCTGCCTCCTGTCCCCTTGCAGGCGCGGGGCTCCGAGGGCAGAGCAGGAGGTCGCGGCCAGAGGCGGCGGTGCCGGGCCAGGCGGGCGCCCACGGGACCGTGGCCTGGAGCCCCGAGGACAGTGAGGCCTGGGAGAGCGAGAACCGGCCGGGGATGGCCTTGGGCCGGTTGGCGGGGGCGCGGCGGGGGCGGCCGCCCACGCGCCGGCGTCAGTTTCGGGACCTGGCGGCCGAGAAGCCGCACAGCTGCGGGCAGTGCGGGAAGCGTTTCCGCTGGGGCTCGGACCTGGCGCGGCACCAGCGCACGCACACCGGCGAGAAGCCGCACAGGTGCCCCGAGTGCGACAAGAGCTTCCGCAGCGCCTCGGACCTGGCGCGGCACCAGGGCGTGCACACCGGCGAGAAGCCCTTCTCCTGCGCCGCCTGCGGCAAGAGCTTCAGCCGCAGCGCCTACCTGGCCGACCACCAGCGCATCCACACGGGCGAGAAGCCCTTCGGCTGCAGCGACTGTGGCAAGAGCTTCTCGCTGCGCGCCTACCTGCTGGACCACCGGCGCGTGCACACCGGCGAGCGGCCCTTCGGCTGCAGCGAGTGCGACAAGAGCTTCAAGCAGCGCGCGCACCTCATCGCCCACCAGAGCCTGCACGCCAAGACGGCCCAGCCCGTGGGCTGAGCGGCCTGGGCGGGGGAGGGGTGCTCCACCCAGCGCCGGTGCTCCGAGGACCTGCCCAGCGCCAGCCCTTGTCGCCTGTCCTGCCTGCTCCCCTCTGGTTTCCGCAGCAGGGGAGCGGGAGGAGTCAGGCCTGGCCTGAGGACCCTTCCCAGAGCTGTCCTCAGTCCCCTTCCTTCCCTGTGTTCTGCGTGTGTCCACGGCCAGGCCCTCTGCCTCGCCAACCTGTGCCTTCCAGTGTGGGTGGAAGATTGGCCACGGGCAGCTGCTGGCTTTGGGATGGACATCGAGGCCTTCCGGCCCTCACCTCTCCAGTCATCGGGGCAGGCTGTGTGTCCTGGCCACGAGGAGGCGGGCGGCTCCGCTGTCTGCAGGTCTGCCCAGCACGGGCCAGCGTGGTGAGGGTGGCAGCGGGTGCAGCCACGGGGCTAACCCCGGAGACTGACGGGCCAACAGAGGCCGGCCGCCGCCCGCCGCTGCTGAGGCGAGGACCGTACTTAACACGAGCACTCCACTGCAGTTCTGGGTCTGTGCCGCTGTGTTCTCTAGTCACTGCCGCGGGCTTGTGGGCACTGGGATGGTCCTCCTCGCCCTGTGGGTCCTGTGGCCTGAGTCCCAGAGCAGCCATGAGCCCTGGGCCTCAGGGCTGGAGGAGGGGGAGCAGGCCTTGGAGTGCTTGCTGGCTGCTCCCCCCACGAAATGAGGAAGGGGCTCGGAGACCCCGAGGGGAGTGGTGGCACTTAGGCTGCTGGCTGCGGACCCGGAGCATTCAAGCTGCCTCTGCGAGTCCCTTGGGGGAGGGGCTGACCGTAGCAAGAGGCCCCGCCCCCACTGCCCAGCAGCCTGTAAGATGCCAGCCTCTCCTCTGGCCCCGCCCAGGCTGGGGGTCCTGTGCGGGGCTCCTCCCACTCTGGCAGAGCCCTGCCTGCTCACCTGGTGGAGGCTGTCTCTGTCCCTTGGTGCCTGTGTGCCAGCCCCTCTGTCCCCACGTAACACAGGGTCACACCGTCACCGGCACAGTCCCGTGGCTCAGATGCAGCAGCCGAGGTCTTGTGGCCCAGGCCGATTCCAGTTGGTTTCTTCCTAAGGGGCTGGGCGCTGGTGGGGTGGGTGGGGGAGGGTGGCAGGAGCAGCACAAGGACTGGCTGCACAGGGAGACACTCGGGTGTAACAAGATCAGATAGGAGCGGGCCGGGAGCTAAAAATAGGATCGGGCACAGGCTCTTGGTGCAGGTGAGGGCACGCCAGGAAGTCACCGGCTACAGCCAGAGGAAGGAGCCCGGGGACAGAGTCCAGCTCAGGTCCTGAACCAGCTGGTGGAGAGGGCAAGGGTCAAGGCCCAGGCTGCTGGGATCCAGGGCCAGGAGAGCTGGTGTCCGGAGGATTCCCCGCCTGTCCGCCATGGCTTTCCTGGTGGCTGGGACCCTGCAGGCGGCTGCACAGGTGGCAGATGCTCGAGACAGCCTGGGGAGAAAGGTAGTAGGAGGTGCCTCCTGGCCCTGCCCACTTCGGACTCCCGCCCGAGCCTGGCCCCGCCCTGCCCTGCCCGCTCTGGCCTTGCCTCCCTAGGGGAAGTACAGCGTGCAGGGTCTGAGGGTGGCCCTGACACTCGGCAGCCCGGGGGTGCCTGCCGCAACGGTCGCTGCCCTGGAGGGCGTGTTCCAGGCCCTGGGCTTTGAGAGCTGGGAGAGGAGGGAGGCCTTGGTCCAGGTGAGCCCACACCCCTCCCCTCCTCCCCAGCACCCCTCGCCTCACCCCCACTGTGAGCTCCGGGCCGCAGCCAGGCCTTTACTGCTGCTCCTAGGACTTCCTCCGGGAGCTAGCTTTGTTCAGGAAGCAGCTGGATGCCCTCCAGAGCCCCGTGGGCTGTGCCCTTGTGGCCCTGGTGGCCCCCCGCGGGCAGCTGAGGCAGCCCCGGCAGCTGGTTCAGGAGCTGAGCTGTTGTGAGGCCCTCCAGGGCTGCCCCAAAGTCGTCCTGCTGCTTTCAAGCGGCGCTGGGGGTGAGTGGGCAGGGACCTGGGTCCTGGGAGGGCCGGGTGGGGTTGGGAGAGCTGGAGCCCCACTGTAGACCAACGCTTCTCCACCAGCTGCCCTGGAGCCCGGAGCCTTCCTCGCCGGCCTCAGGGAGCTCTGTGGCCGCCGTCCTCACTGGTCGCTGCTGCAGCTGCTGACAGAGGTGCGGGGGCTGTGCTGTGCTCTGCTGAGCCAGCCAGTCTTGGCAAGTGCTTCCCCCACCTGTTCACTCTGCACCCTCTATAGGCTACACGTGTGTCGGCCGCAGGGCCCTGCCCCCACCCTCTGGAGCGCACAGATACCCCAGACCAACCCCCGCCACACCTAGCCTGAGCTGTTCCTTGCATGGTATGGCCTCCCTGCTCTGCCAGCCAGGATTCTACAGTCCCTTCCAGGCTGTCACTGGTGCCTTCCTCACTCTCCCCGCGTGCACACTTGTACCTCCAGCCTCCCGTGCAGGCGGTGGACGGCTGCCCTGTTATGCTGCAGGACCCTGGGGGCTGGGGTTGGGCCCAGGTCTGCTCCCGAGGCCCGAAGGTCCCTGGGTAGTTGAGTAGTCCCTGGGGTGGGCCCCAGCTCTGCTCCGTGGCACGCTCAGTCGTGGCACCCTCCCCAGAAGTGCCGATCCTGGGAGCCTTCCCTGCCAGCCCTGCCCTGTTCCAGCGAGCATCCCCACCACAGTGCACCCTGACCCTGGGGTAGGGGACGTCCAGCTGGAGCCCCTCATTCCCAGGGCAGTCTGTGGCCTTGAGCCTGGACGAGAACTTCTGTCTTGCTTAGGCCCTTCTGCCCTCCCTGCCCTTCCTCTGCCTCCCCCCACTCCGTTCTGGCTGGTAGAGCCCTGTGGAGTCTCCCTGGGTGCTCCTCCCTACCTCTGGAACAGCCCCTCTGACGTGTCCTTGCCGCCCCCCAGCTGTTCTGCAGGGTGGCTGAGGACTCCGCGGGGGACATACGCTGCCCCGTCTTTCAGAGCTCTTTGCGGGGGGCACTGTGCCTGACAAGCGAGGAGCCCTGGAGGCCTGAGGTACTCGGGACAGGGCGGGATCCAGTCACGTGGCCATGGGACGAGAGGCAGGGAGCCCCGGCAGAGGAGGGAGGGGCTGGGGTCCCTGAGGCCACTGTGAGTGCCCGGCACCTCTGCAGGCAGAACCCGGCCCCGGGGCTCAGTATGACATGTCGGGGGCCAGAGCTGCCCTCCTGCTGGCTGTGATCCGAGACCGGCCTGGGGCCGAGCGTGACGTGGAGGCACTGGGGGGCCTGTGCCAGGCCCTGGGCTTCGAGACCACCCTGAGGACGGACCCTACAGCCCAGGTGAGGGGAAGCCCGAGACTCCTGGTGCTATTCCCGAGGACTCTCCTGGGCCTCTCACCCATCACAGGCGGGAAGTGCACCTGCAGCTCTGGCCTCCACCCTCCCTGCTGTGTGCATGGGCAGTCACTTCCCTGCTTCCAGAAGCCCCCCCCCCCCCCAATCCCCCCGGGCCCAAGGCCCGTGCCACTGCCTGGGTCTCCTCCCTGGCTCACAGTCCCCAAGGGTCTGTCTCCCTGTAGGCTTTCTGGGAAGAGCTGGCCCAGTTCCAGGAGCAGCTGGACACCTACAGGGGACCTGTGAGCTGTGCCCTGGTGGCCCTGATGGCCCACGGGGGACCACAGGGGCAGCTGCTGGGGGCCGACGGGCAGGAGGTGCAGCCAGAGGCGCTGGTGCAGGAGCTGAGCCGCTGTGGGGCACTGAGTGGCTGTCCCAAGGTCTTCCTGCTTCAGGCTTGCCGTGGGGGTGAGTGGCGCCCAGCATCCCACCTCCTCCTCCTGGCTTTCTCGGTCAGCTCTCGGCCACCCCAGGCTTGCTGCCTGGGAGTCTGGGGCACATCCTCTCCCCCACCCTCTCCTAGAGGTCAAGGCCATGAGCCTGAGCCCTCAGCGTTTGCAGCGTGGCAGGCCTGCTCGGGGGCTCTGGGTGGGGTGCCCACCCCCAGATAGCGTCTACCTGTTTCCCATTTTCCCAGGGAACAGGGATGCCGGCAAGGGCCCCAAGGCTCTGCCCTGGTACCGGCGCTGGTTGTGGGTACCACAACCTGCTCTCCCCTCCCACGCGGATGTGCTGCAGGTCCACGCCGATGCCCAAGGTGGGTCCTGTCCTTCCAGAGCCTGGGCTTGGGAAGGGCTAATGGGAAGGAAAAGTCTCCCTTGACCGCCGGGGCCTCTGGGAAGCTGGGGCGGCTTCCCCCGTGTGAACCTCACACCAAGCCTGGAGACAGCCCGGTGAACCAGCTCCTCTGAGGTCACCCAACTGGTCATTGGCAGGGTGTCCACCTGCCCCGAGCTGCCCTAGAGCCAGAGACGGGACACCTGGGACTGGAGGCATCTGGGGCTGACGGGTGCCGGTGACTCTTCCCGCAGGCAGCTCCTGCAGTGGCCCTGCTCCAGGGAGCTCCGGCCAGGCAGACGTGCTGACCGTCTACGCAGCAGCCGAGGGTGAGGACAGGGCCTGAGGAAGCCCGCTTCCTGGGGTTGGGGTGCAGAGGCTGCTTGCTCAGGCTGGTCAGTCAGCAGGCCCACGGCAAGGGTTCAGTGTTATCTCCCCGAGGACTCCCCCTGCAGCCCCAGGCTGGCTCCGGGTGCTGGAGGCCCTGTCCTCTGCCCTGACCTTCGGCCGCCAGCTCCCAGCACTAGGCCGCTGCGGGTGGGAAGGCAGAGAGGCCGTGCCCAACCCGGGTTGGGGTCCCTTGGTGTAGGCTGTGTGGCCTATCGGGATGAGATGGGCTCAGACTTCATCCAGACGCTGGTGGACGTGCTCAGAGCGGACCCCGGGCGGGACCTCCTGGAGCTGCTCACTGAGGTGCGCTCTTCACCCTGGGGTCCTGAACACCCCCACCCCCGCCCCACTGGGGAAGGAGGAATCCCTGGCCCCGAACAGTAGAGACCACCAAGCCCGCACGGAGGGAAAGCAGCGGGGGGTGGGTGGGGGCTCTGGGCCCTGGCCACAGGGGTGGGGGTGCGACCCGGGAGGGCCTGGGGGCGCGTTGATGCCGGCGCTTGACGCCTGGCCTCGCCGGCCTCGCGGGGCCCCGCAGGTGAACAGGCGCGTGTGTGAGCTGGACGTGCTGGGGCCGGACTGCGACGAGCCGCGCAAGGCCTGCCTGGAGATCCGGAGCTCGCTGCGGCGGCGGCTCCGCCTGCGGGTCTGACGGCGGGGGCTCGCCCGGGCCATCCCCGTTCCCCTCCTGTCAACCCGGCGTGACCGCGTGGGCCTGGCGCTCTGCTGGCCAGCAATAAACAAACTCCTGCGGACGTCCCCGGGCCTCTCGGGTCTGAGAAGCGAGAGGGCGGACGGGGGTGCAGTGTCTGGGGCCAGGGGACACCGCGAGGCTGGGCAGGGGTCCTGAGAGCACCCCAGGGGGCCCACCTGGGAGGCCCCGCCCCTCTCCCAGGCGCGCCCCTGTGCACCCTCCCAATCTCCACCACAGACACGAGCCTGGGCCCAGAGGCCCCGGAGCAGGCCGGCGCAGGGGCTGCGCAGCGTGGGCGGCGAAGGCGGTCGGCGCGTGGGGGTAGAAAGGCCGGCCACGCGGCCTGCGGGCCGACTAGGGTTCGAACTCGCGCTGTAGCCGCGGTCCAGGGCAGGCGGCTCCGCTCCCAGCTCCGCCCGCGCCCAGCGCCGAGGGGCGGGGCGACGCTGCAGGCCGCGTGCACATGCGCGCTGGGGAGCCTGGCGCAAGCGGTCGAGCCGGGCTTTATGGGAAAAACGGCAACGTCTGACGCCGTAGGGCCGCGTGGCCTAATGGATAAGGCGTCTGATTCCGGATCAGAAGATTGAGGGTTCGAGTCCCTTCGTGGTCGCTGCCGGGTTGTCTTTTAGTGCCGAGAGATAAAAATTTTCCTGCCCTCAGGACCACACCTCACGCGGACCTGGGACCCCTCCGTCACTCCCTGGCTGCCCGAGCTGTGACGCGGGTGGCCCTACCCACTCCCTGAGTCCACCCAGCTCGGGTACTACAACGGCGCTGGCCCCCGAGAGCCCGGGGTCTCCGTGGAAACCTGCAGCGGCAGGGTCCGGGCGGGACCGCGAGCCTCAGGGGCCGGAGCCCAGGCCGTGGAGCCGGACACGCGTGTGGGGAGCTGGGCAGGGCAGGAAGACGCGCGCGCTTCCGACCGCGCAGACCGTCAGGGGTATTCTGGACGCAGTGGTGATAGGTGTCCGGTCCTGTGCCCGCGCTCAGTGCGCTCGAACGCGACTGAAGTGGCCAGATCTCCTTTCAGCGTGCATTTCGCAATTTTAACAAAGCAAGCCAACGGCTCAGAGGGTATCCGGATTTCTCGCAGCGAGACGGCGCCTGTGAGAGGCGGTGTGGAATGTGCCGGAACTTCGGTGTTCAGCCTTGCAGGGTGGGGTTGACAGCCCACGCGGGGGGAAGCTCCTGTGCACCCGTGAGCCGCTCGTGGGGCTGCGTGGTGCGGGCGTCGCCGGCACCTTCCTGCGGTTTATCAAGGGTTCATAAACGCGAGAACCGCGTTAAACTGAAAAAGCTAAAATTATGGAAAAAACACAACGCCCAACGTGGGGCTCGAACCCACGACCCTGAGATTAAGAGTCTCATGCTCTACCGACTGAGCTAGCCGGGCGCGCTGAAGGCTGGATCCAGGGCGTTCTGTAAGGGGCCTCGCACACCCGGGTCTGCCAGGGCGTCCCGACGCGGGAGCGAGGACGCAGGCCGTCGTGGGCAGCACCCGCACCACGCCCGCTTCTGGCTACACCCGGGTTAAAAAATTCACCCGGATCAGAACCCGGGAGCCCCGCACGCAGAGCGTGTCTCGCAGGCCCTAGGCCGAGCTTCGCTTTCCGCATCTCGGTTCCAGCTGCGCGTGTGCGGCCTCTTAGGGTCCCGCGGAGGCCTGGAGAGGGCGAGACCCGCGGGAGCGGTGCCCGGGACCGACTTGCAGGGTTGCAGCGGGGCTGGCTGGGTGCGGGAGCCCCGCGCAGCAACTGGAAGAGCGGTCTACAACTCGTCCGCATACCTGTGCGTCAGCCCCGGTGGCCTAATGGATAAGGCATTGGCCTCCTAAGCCAGGGATTGTGGGTTCGAGTCCCACCCGGGGTAAGGAGCTTGCGTTTTAGGAATTTGCGGGAAAAGCGAGCCGCAGCTGCGCCTTTGACCACGCACAAGCCTCCCTGAGGGACCGGAGAGGCGAGGCCGGGTCTGCGGCCCAGGGCAGACATGGAGCGCCTGTTCCATCCCAACCTCGTGATCTCACCTGTGAGCCTGAACCACGCTTTGTGGTCGTTTGCACTGCCTGTGTTTTGGAAACAAAGCTGGGTTTGCTTTAGAGCCACACCGGGTGGATGGAGTGTAGACGAAACGCTGTGAGTTGGTAATGGTGTAAACCGGGGGGGTGGGGAGGGTGGGGTTTTCGTGCGAGGCGAACTCCGTATTACTCTCTTGTAAATCCGTGCAATGCATAACTTGGCTCTGTGCACATTTTAAGAAGCTCATCTGGACTTGGTAGTGGTTGGCACTACCAAGACGCGGTGCCGAGAGCAACCTGAGTCCCCCCTGTGAAACCGCACCTCCGGTTTGCCTCTCCGCGGCCCTTCGGCTTTGCCGCCTGCGGAGGGGGCGCGCGGGCGGTTCCAGGCCAGGTCCCGGAGGCCCCCGCGTGTCCATCTCCCGGGCCCCTTGGGGGCGGCAGCAGGGCAGGCGCGTCCCTGCTCCTTCCCGATGCCCAGGGTGCCAGAAGCGAGGCGAGTTCGCAGCCTGTTGGGGAAGAAACGAAGCCGAGGGTCTGGCGTGGCTCGCGCGCGGCCCCAGGTCCCTTCGTCCTGCGATGATCGGGGTCGGGGCTGGGGTCCCCGGCAGAGATCCCCGCGCCCGCACCGGCTGAACAGACCCCCTCGCCGGCGGACGGCGGCCGCTTGTCACCCGCGTCCGAACTCGGGCGCGCGCGGGGCGCGGCCAAGCCTGGGCAGGGTCCGAGCCACCTCCCGCCGCGTGACCCTGGGGCGGGACCCGAGGCCGGGGCGGAGCCGCGGGCCGAATCTCCAAAGATCAACGCAGCGGGATACTGACCTGTCGGCTCGTTGGTCTAGGGGTATGATTCTCGCTTTGGGTGCGAGAGGTCCCGGGTTCAAATCCCGGACGAGCCCTCTCACTTTTGCCGTCTGTTTCGGGTGCAGGCCCGGTAGTTCACGTAGCCGGCAGGAGCCGGGGCCCCAGGCTTGGCGCGGACCGCGGCGAGGAGGGGCTCCGGGTAAGCGCAGGCGCAGCGGGCGGTGGACCCGCGTCGCGTGCGCGGTTTCCAGCTCTCCCCAGGCTGCGTGTTAGCCCACTTTTTGCGCGCCGCAGGCGACATTGCCACACGCGTTCGTGCAGCCTGATCCGGCCCGGCCCCGAGCACACCCGCGGCTTCTTCCCGGTGCTGGGCGTCTACAGGCTTCTCTCTTCTCGGGCGCAGCCCGTCTCTGGGGGCGGTGAAAGCCGCGGCTGCCTTCGGACAGTGACAGGCACCCATCACCCGTCTCCCTCTGCCCTCTGCCAATCACTACCAAGTTCAGATGAGCTTTTTAAAACGTGCACACGGCCAGCGCAGGGCTGCCAGAGGAGGGAAAGCAGGGGAACCCCAAGGGTGGGGACCATCTGTGCCCCCTGCAGGTCAAGGGCAGAGGGGGCGCGGGTCGCTGTATCCGGGCCCCAGCCACTGCACGGCCGTTCCGTGTGCCCCCAATCCGGGGGTGCTGAGGCCAACACGCGAGGATTGTCTTTGGGAAAGCTTTGTGGCAGCTTCCAAGAGGAGGAGCCACCAGGCTGTGGGGGTGGGCCCGCGGGGAGCCCCTGGGTGGGCGGAGTGAGAGGGGGGCTTCCCTGCCGTGGTTTTTGGGGGAGGATGTTGGAGGCGGGCAGCAGGGGGGTCGGCAGGCGCTGGGGCTGGAGTTGTGTCTCCCTATCCCGGCCTCGGGCTGATAAGGGTGGGTGGACAGTGGCTTGTGGGGTGGAGCCCACTACAGGGCTTTTGGGGGATGGGCTGTGGATTGGCCGTTTGCATTCGCGACACACAGGCTGCTGAGCCCCTGGAGAGGCAGACTCCACCCCCCGCCCCCCAGAACACAGTCCCGCAGGTACGGATTGGGATGAGCGTCGGATCCCGCTCCCAGAGTCCCTCCCTCCCCGGACGGCTGTCCCTGCAGGAGGCTGGAGCCGCCGGACACCCACAGAGCAGACCGTGGCCCCCGCTCTGCCGGGCACAGTCCCGAGCCTCTGTCAGCTGGGGGTTCTCGGCGCTGCGACCCCTACTCAGAGCCAGATCTGCACGGAACCCAGGGCCCGAGCTGCGCATGAGCCTGAGTCCACACGGGGAGGAGGCCCACGCTGGGGGGCTGGGGGTTGGTCCCAGTTCGGCTTCAAACCCCAGGGAGCAGCGGTTTGCTTTCCTGTTCATTTCGGGGCCTGGCTGGAGCTCCCTGCAGAAGGCGGCGGCCGGAGTCAGACCTGCGGGGTCGGTGAGCGGCAGTCCCAGAGTGCGCCGGGCACAGATCCGAGCTGACCCGGGTGGCTGAGGCTGGTGTCCGCCTGGCCGGGGGCCCCGCCTCCCATGTAAGCCCTGAAATCCTTCCGCTGAGGCCGGGGCTGGGCCGGGGCTGGACCGTGGAGGTGGGTTCCTGGGCCTGGGCGGAAGCGGAAGGGGCGCGGAGTGAGAGACCCCGGAGGCCCCCAGTGCAGTCGGGGACTGAAGAAGCTAGGAGATGGAGGCTCGGTCTGGAGACGCCCGTGGGCAGGTTTCAGGGGACACAGAGATGCGTGGGTCCCTGGAGCGTCTGCCGTGAGAGGGTGTTGGGGGTTCAGGGAGACCGGGGAGCCGCGACCCTGAGGGGACTCCAGGCCCCGCTCCCAGCTCCGCTCCACAACCTGGCCCTTGGCTCAGAGACTGGAGGACTGGAGGCGCTTCCCCAGGCTAGTGGTGGGGAAACCCTGGCGGGGGCTTCCTAACCCGCGGCCACAGGGTGTGGCCACGCTGGTTCTCTCCTCGCTGCGGAGACCAGAGTCCAGTTGTTTCCCACAAGTCACAGCGAGAGGAGGCGGCTCATGGAAGCAGAAACCGGGGCTGGTCCAGGCCTGGGTGCGGGAGGCGTGCAACTCACCAAGGAGGGCCAGCAGAAGTCCTTATGTGTGGCTCGTTGGTCTAGGGGTATGATTCTCGCTTAGGGTGCGAGAGGTCCCGGGTTCAAATCCCGGACGAGCCCTTGTTTTTAAGGGTGTGGTGCAGGAGATAAAGGCTCAGTACTGCTGGCGTGACCTCTGGGGT